CCTTCTCTTTTTTTATAAGGCAGGAAGTTCAGGCTGGCCTTGAACGCACAGTGATCCTCCCGCCTCAGCCTCCCGAGTGCTGGGGCTCTGGGTGCGCACCCCTGCACTGCGCTCTCGCATGTCCTGTGCATGCCGTGCAGTCTATGGGTGGGGCGGGGGAGGCTGGGCCTCCCTGCGGGCCAGAAAGGCATTCATCCACGCTGGCAAAGGCCACACCAGGACGGTGCGAGCAGGCAGGCCATACTGCGCAGAAACTACCTGCAGCTCGGTTTTCTGGGAATCTAGAAGTGGCCTAATGGAGTTGATCTAACTTTGTGGGGAAGAGAAGGGCATTTGGGGACAGGGGACGTTGGGGGAGAGGATGGGACAGGAAGTACAGAGGATCAGGATGCTGCGGCATCTGCCCTGTAACCCAGCATGAACAACTGTATCCTGCATCCCAGGCCTGAGGACGCACCTCAGGGGTAAAGCACTTGCTGGTAGGCACACTGAGGCCCCAGGCACCCCTACGTGGGGGTCCCCCCAGAAAATGAGGGGGTGTGGCAGAGCTGTGCTTACTGGCTGGCCGTAGGAATGGGAGCCCTGACTCGAAGAATGCCAGTATCAGTGTCCAAGGTCACCCCACACAGGACCAGGAGGCGCGGGCTGCCCACTTCCTCCTCCACGTGTGCCCACAAGGTGTGGACGTGGCAGCCTGCCCACTGAAGCCATGCTTCACCAAGCTACCAATGTCTCTTGGTCGCTGCCTCTCCTCTCCCCACTCTGCTGACTCTAAGCCATCATTTTCAGCAAAACTTAGGGCCGCCTGCCCTAATTACTTCCTGTAGGCAAACTCAGAGGCGGCTCTGGGGCCCTTGTGGCCAGGGGCAGCAGGCCTCTGCTCCCAGATCCGCCTGTCTCAGCCCTGCCCTGGGTCACATCCTTCCTTGGGCAGGTTACACCTGCTTCTCGCTCTCCCTCCATGGTGCCGCACACGGCTGTAGGTTACTGGAGGTACTGCCTCTGTGGCAACAAGGTCATGTTCCGTCCTGTGTCTGCTGTTTGTCACCTCCCTGCCCTAAGTGTTTCGGGCACAGCCCAAGTCCCTGTACGTGCGCTCCTGTGTCCCAGCAAGCGGCTCAGGCTAGGGATGAGCTGTCCAGGCCGGCCTCGGACTCACGCCTCCCAGGTGGTGTGGTTATCGTCGTGCCACCATGCCCAGCCACACACTGTTACACAGGCGGCCGTGCTAGGCTGTGGTGACCTACGGGCAAAGCCGATAGGGCTCATGCTGTGGAGGAAATGCGCCCTCTGGTAGGGGACAGAGGCTCCAACTAAATGTGAGGGAGTCAGCCTCAAAGGAAACAGTGAGACCCGAGAAAGGGACGTGATTTAGAGCCCCCGAAACCACAGGCCTCCCTTCAGCAGGGTAGAGTTAGCCCAGCCGGGAAAGGAGGAAAGCTGCACAGAGGCACCGGCCTGAGGAAGGAGGGGACCATGTGGGGAAGGATGTGGCCCAACTGGCGGGAGTGCAGAGCACACCAAGAAGAGAGGCAGGCTGACAGCGGAGGCGATGCCGGGTGGTCTCGGGCCTCATTTTCCAGGCTCAGCACTCTGGGCTGGTCCTGCCGGGAAGGAGCAGGCTGGCCTCTAATCCCAGCACTCTGGAGGCTGAGGCAGGAGGAGTGCCACCGGCTTGAGGCCAGCCTGGGGTCCACAGAAAGTTCGGAGCCAACAACTCTTGTTGCATAGGTCCTACTTTACCTTGGTCTTAACTATCCAGTAGAAAAGTATGAGGACGAAATATAGGAAGTAAAGTCATGCTGTTATGTTGAGCTGTGGGGGACTCAGGTCAATAATTTCTGACATTGCCAGTTAAACAGAAGACCCAATGCTATTATGGGCTACTGGTCTCTTTTAGAATATTTTGCTGAGTTTACACACCTATAATATTCAATAACGGAACTTAACGAAAAAAGGGTATGCAAATGAATGTCCATTTTGTATCTGTGTATTCAAAGTGGTTGGGATAGATATATAGTTGCATTCTCTTAATGAATAGAATGATTTGTTCTAATGGTGTTTGTAAATAGGATCTCAAGTCCGCATCTTGTACAGCAATTAACCACTAAGAAGAATATATGCAGTGTGTTATTTGTTGAAACTGTACTTCCGATTTGATTTGAAACTGTCTCATTGCTATCTGTTTATCAATAAAATTTTGGAAAAAAAAAAAAAGTTCAGAGCCAGCCTGGACTACACAAACAAAAAGAACTTGGTCTGTAGGCCAGAGGCAGTGTCAGCAACGACCCAAAGGACCTATTTATTTATTTTTATCTTTTTGAGCCAGGGTCTCACTATGCAGCTCAGGTTGGCCTTGAGTTCACTTTGTAGCCCAGGCAGGTCTCAAATTCACAACGATCCTCCTGCCTTCGCAACTGCAAAGGAAAAAGACATACTGTACTTTCAAACACGGCTAAGTCTGGCTGTCTTCCCCTTAACCTAGTTATCTGCCTTTGCATCAACAATCCTGAGATGGTCAGTATCTTTATTTGGTCCCTGGTGCGCTGTGGCTGGGTTTGGTTTAGTTCAGTTTGGTTGAGACAGGATCTGGGATGACAGGCGCACACTGCCATGCTTGACTCTGAGCTTTTTTTTTTTTTTTTTCATACTGACTGTATCCAACTCAGGACCTTGCATTTGCCAGGCAGATGCTTGTGTCCCTGAGCTACATCTCCAGCCCTGCTGAATATTTTTTTTTTAAATTTATTTATTTATTTTAGTGTGTGTGTGTGTGTGTGTGTGTGGCCAGCTCAGCCCACCAGGGGGCGGGGCTGGCTGGCATGTGGTGCTGGGGGATTGAACCGCGGTCCCTGTGCTTTGCTAAGCTTGTTCTAATAAAAATAAAAATAAAAATAAAAATACTGACTATCTCGGGATTATCGATGCAAAGGCGGATGACTAGGTCAGGCGAAGACAGCCAGACTTGGCCGAATGTAAGAGTCCAGTATGTCTTTTTCCTTGGCAATTGCTAAATGACTCAAGGCACATTTGGCAACAGAATCCATACTGTTAATAGTTGTTCCTTAGTTTTTTTTTTTTTTAATCTGCGCACGGATGTGCACTTAATCATAAGAGCGTCCTTGTAGTTTTCTTTCTTTCAGGCTTGGAGAGCTTAAATGACTTTTCCAAACTCATAGAGCCAATAAGTAGCAAAGGCATGATGCAAGCATAAATACATTTAGTTCCCTTTAAAAATATTGCAGAACTTAAATCATACTGAAGAGGCGTAGAGAATTCCTTCTCCAGAATTCAGTAACTACTTCTCTCCATTTGAAGCCATTCTCTAATAAAAGATATTTTAATTTACTACCCCCTTCGGGAGAAGCCATGCTTCACCTGTCTAAAGGCTACACCACCGCCCCTCAAGCTGGTAGGGCACACCGGTGCCAAGCCCGAGTCCCGCGCGGCCGCCTGTATTTCTGATACTAGCTTACAGCGTCAGAAGGTTACACGAGTTACTGAACTTGTGATTTTTTCCACAACGCGTAAACAAAGCCAACTGATGAAAAAAGTGGCAATTTCCTGCCCAAAGCCTGCAAATGTAAATCTATGATGCTAAAACCAACAGAGGCCTTTGGGGTGCAAGAGACAAAATCAGGTCCCCGCGCATCCACCCCTCGAGCTAGGTCGGCAACGCGTCAGGCAGAACAGAGGCTTGGGGCCGTCGGGAACAGAGGAGGTGACAAAGAGCAAGCCAGGGACGCGGGCTCGGGGGCCGACCGCCACCCCCGGGTCGCGGCGGGCGCTCTCTCGGGGCCTCCAGCCCTGGGTCAGGAGGGGGTCTTACAGGGAGGGCATGACTTCCAAGAGTTACTCTCCCCAAGAACTCTTCCTAAGAAGACACCCTGAATCTCTTAACTCTGACAGGGAATTCAGCATCGCGCCGGACTCTAAACAACGCCTTAAGAGGGAAGCTTAGCTTCCGCCTGCTATCAAGGTCCCCCAAGCCGGAAGCAGGCGGGCACGCCCCCGAATGCTGTTCTTTGATGTCATTGGTTATCCTGCCTGTCCCTCTCTCCCTACGTCTCTTTCATTGGTCAGTATTGCCAGGTCTCGCTTTCACAGACAATTCCCGGAAGTAATCATCTCCAACTATTGCCCCAGCTCTCTGCTGAAGTGTGAGTGACGTAGATGCTAACCAATAAGAAATGAAAGTGGCGATGTGAAGCTGAAACTCCTCTCCCTTTGCCTCAGCGCGTTCAGTGAATGGTAGAAAAAGCTGAGCAGCTGATATTAACCACCAATCCCGAAGGGCGGAAGAGGACGCTGAGAAGAGTGACGGGAGGGGGTGACGTGGCCGTGACTGAAGCATACAAGGAAATGAGTGGCGGAAATATGGGCCAATCCGCGATCAAATAGGCCGGGCTCTCTGCATTCGCCCATCCTCCCGGAGAGCGAAGAGGCTTCAGAAAAGAACCAATGAGATTGTAGCAGGGTCTGATTGGCCGTCATCTGGACCAATCCGAGGTGGGGCTGTCGGGTGCGCCCTACCCCGGGCTCTCACTGGGCGGAAGAGGTTGACAGGCCCGAGAGAAATGCCAATGTCCGCAGGGTCCTCCGCAAGTGACACTCGGCCGCGCCAATCGACGTGCTCCTTCCCGGAGGCCGAGCCCGCCCCCGCGGCTGCCGGCGGGGCGGGGACGCTGCGCGGCGGCTGCTGAGGCGCTAGCCGTGTGGGGTCCTCCGGGCGGTGGCGGCGGCCC